TTCGCATGACTGTAGTCGAAATAAGAATTTTTATTATTTCAAATACAAACCAAAAAATCGAACAAATTTTAAATCTACAATTCAACAATTGTTAATATTTTTTAATGAAGTGATAATATCTAATATTATGAAATGTCGATAAAATAGTATAAAATAATTTAAATAAAATGCACATTAGGAGGAAATAAAGGGAGTTTAAATTAAAATGTTTATAATTCAAAGTAAAGTTGAATTATACTTTGCAATTTATATCAGTGTCTGAACACTTGATATACTGGAGAATCAATAAAAAATAAGGCATGTGCTTAAATTATATCTTTTTACTATACGAATTGTTACGAAAACACTTGAATTTATAATATAAAAAATAATAGAAAAAAAAATTACTGTAAATGTAGATATTATAATTACACTGAAATAGCCAAAGGTTCGATCCATATGAAAATAAGTAAACAGCACACTGTGTAGAACAACAGCAGAAACACAACAAGAGAGACATAGACTGCCGTCTGCATAAGAAGTGGCTGCTCAGTAAACCACTTGTTTAAGTGTACGAAATAGAGTACGCCGAGTGCCAGTCCAACAATAACACTTCCCAATATACAAGTGAAGTCTTGCAACGGGAACAGTTCTACAAAGACTATTACTAACAAAGCGACAAGTGCAGTAAACACTGATCGTTTGAAATGAAACCTCCTTGGATCATCTGTCAGTGCAAGGTCAATCAGAAACACGACAATTAACCCCGCAAAAGGTCCGCTTGAACATACAGCAACTGAGTTACAACTTAACACGCAAGAAAGTAACACGCCTGCTTCTCCTGTCAGTAAATATGTTGCGCAAAATATAAGTATGCCCCATCGATGCTCGAAATACAAGAAAAATCGAAGAGTGAAAAACACTTGTAAAAGAAGTGACATGAGTGATGGCGATAGAATGATTGGGACAAAGAGCCTATACGCCTCGTAACTTTGTTTAATACCGTATGGGTACTTCGCACCATATTTTACAATTCCAGACACGGAAGGGCCTATCGCGGGGTTCTCCGCGAATGTGCCAATACCACACATCACCAGTTCGCTGATGAAAACGGCTGTTAGTGTTAATGAGAGAAAAAAAGAGACTGAAACGCATGCGCGGAGGTATTTCTCGAGGCGCGAATTAGCGACAAATGGCGGGAGACAACAGGGAAATATACAGTAGATGAGTCGTTTGATGATGTTTTCGTTCTTGTCAAAAGGGACTAAGAAGCCATCGATGTCGACAAAAGAATCGTCTTTAGGTTCCGAGTGATGTGGTAAGAAGAGTGTCCCGAAGTTAAAAGTATCGTCGGAAGAGGACGACGAGGACGTCTGTGTCATGTCCACCATTGTTGTTGCCTTTTCTTTGTCATCTGAGGACGTTCCATATAAAGGGAGTAGTGTGTTATCCGCCATTACTCACTGTATGTTCCTAGACAGTTCCAGAAATCATGGTGCCTGGCAGAGAAAATTTTGCGAGTACGTTCCCATAAGTGCATTGTAATAGTATCATTTTTTTATGGTTGATTTTCTATATTTTTATGGTATAATTACCATCAAAAAGGAGATACAAAAGACAAAGAAGATCTATATATAATGGGCAACTTTCTAATAATTATTATAATAAGTAAATTGTTTAGGAAGATACAAAAATATGAGGGATTTTTGAGCATTTTTGGGAAAAAGAAATGCGTTAGGATAGGACTGTTTGTTTTATTATGGTATATACTATTTGTATTGATTTATTTACTAATAAAACGGGAAATTAAAGCTATAAGAAAGTTGCCTGCCTTCGATTTTATTTTATGATTGAAAGAATAAAAGGAAGCACTAGATTATGCATTTGTTCGGGATAATACTATTTTTTTATCTTTTTTTTGGTTTAATATGCATTACAATGGAATAAAAGTATCTGATATGATTATTGAAATAAGCGCACTTTTCAAAATTTGTTATTTATGGTCAATAATCATTGAAAATACAACAAACAGGGTTAATAGTTTTGAAAAGAAATATTTACTTAAAATAGAAAAAATATTTTAGAAAAAAAATAAAACTTAATACCTGTTATGAAGTACTTTAATGAGACTGTATCATATAATATAATTTAAATAAATTATATTGGATGTTACATATTTGTTGATCGTTGAATAAATTATTGGTTATTTGAGGTAGGCTTATTTCGCCTTTTTTCAAATATGAAAGATTGAAACATAAAAAAAGGATAGTATATAAATAATTTTAAAAACTAAAACTATTAAAATATACATTTAACAATTATTTTTTGAATATAAATAAAACAACAAATTTTTTTCATATTGTTTCAATTTTTCTTTATGTTAATAACTTTCTTTTATTTTTTAATAATAAAATTGTAAAAAAATATTTTTTTGTAAGGTTCTTGATTATTTGAAATTATAACATTTAAAATAAATAGTCAGCCCAATCTCGCTTTCTTGTTGTTAAATGACTATTTAATAACTTGTTGAATTGTTAAACAAAAAAAATATTAAGGTTTGTGTGGTATTATTCATTTTATAAATCATAAAGGTATGGCTCTACTTAAATTTAATCACCCCGTTTTTTTGTTATTTTATACTATTAATCTCATTATCTACTATTTAATCATAAGTTCGAAAATAATTTCGTTTTTAACTTAAACAATAAATTCGGCATTAAATAAAAAAATAGTAAAATTGTTACTCTGAATATTACTATTCTTTTTTTTATTATAATATTGTTGAAAATTTTTTTATTTAATAATTTTATTATTAAACAAAATAGAAAAAAATTTCTTGCGTACAAATGTCGAGATTTTTTTTCATTTTATAGTAGCTGTTATATTAATAAAATTACGGGAAATCAACACAATTTTTAATTGTAGATAGTTCCGATTAGCAAATTTTTTTAATTGGTTAAAAAGTAATATTTTTTACAAGAAAAACCCAGAAGAAAAAGACAATGAATATTTTTAGTAAAATTAACTATAACAATTAAATTTGTTGAAGATAAAAAAAACAAAAATAGAACCTCAAACTGAATGAATTAGTGCCAATTCCTATTATTTAGGTATAATAGTCGGTATTTAATATCGTTTTTTTTACATACCGTCTTTGATTAACTTCTGAATTAATAATTCAAGATTCGAAACTCGTCCAATATAGCTTTTCGCCTTGTCTAAAACTAAATAACTCATATGAGTTCCACTCACGACGTCGATAAGCTCCTCAACGAAGCAGACAAATGCAAGATCGAAGCGAAACCACGTCGCCCCACCTGCGTCCAACCAGGAAAGAAAAAAATGACAAAGGCTGGGTTTGAGAAACAAAAGAAGTTAACAACGGAAACAAAAGAAAAGCCACGTCCCGCGGTGCTTGAGACGGGGGACGAAGTTGCGTCTTCGAGTCGAAAAGTTCCTATTGGTGGGTTTGGGATGCCGTGTATGTTAATTGCCGAAGAATTGAATAAGAGGAAATCGGGCAGACAGACGATGGCTCCAAGTAGCTTTATGAGAAAAGAAAATTCCCCCCGACAAACTGTTAACCCAGCAATGCTCAACACTAATGGTGAAAAGAAAGATTGGAGAAAAGTTGGATTTACACCAGCAGCAGCCAAACACACTCCACCAAACAAAGGAATAAACGAAGAAACAAAAATTAGTATCAAAAAAGAGGAAAAGAAAGTTGGTCCAATTAATATGAAAGTCGTCGAAGAGAAAAAGGAACTTAAACGAGAAAAGGACTTCTTGACTAAAGACTCGTTGAAGAAAAAATCCCCACGAAGATCTCCTCTTTCTTCACCAAGAAAATCACCACACTCCGCGAAAGAAAGACCAATCACGATGTATGAAAGAAATACACCAAAGCGCGAACGGTCAGGTGCATTGTTAATTGCTACTAAACTAACACAAACCCCCGCATTTGCTAACGAACAAAATTCTCCACAAAAATCCCCAGTGAAATTGCAACCAACTTTACCACAAAGAAATGCGTCAAAAGATAACACTCAAATGGGAACTCCAACAATCGAAAAAACATCACCACAAATGACACAACACAAAACATCTTATAACAAACCACTGCCCTCGACTACAACAGATCAACACCAATCACCACAACCTCTCTATAAGAAAACACTGCCTAATCCATATGAAAAGGATCAAAAGAAACCCGATCTACTGGGAATGGAATCATTACAAGTGGAACCATTATCAAATCCACTGAAAGAAACAGTCCAACAACAAAATGATTCAACTGAAGTCAAAGGAACGACTCCTTTGTCAACTCCTATTATTCCACAAACTCAAAAAATCGATGAGAAAAAGGCTTCTTTGGTCCAAGAAAGTGTATCTTCAAGCTACTCTTCTTCATGTGGTAGAAAACCTTCACCACCAAAATATGGGAATGTTTCACCAAACTCTTTCAGTCCGTCTCCAACAAAGTCAACTAAAGCAGACCCATTCAAAGACCTTGTCATTCCTAAGGCCCAAAGTGAAAAGAAAAATGAAGACGCAAAAGAAAAGATCAAAAAGCCTATTTCCCCAGTATTGGAGAACAAAGGAGAGAAAAAGGCCAGCTCCCAACCAACTTCACCACCCCTGAAGAAAGAAAATGTTTTGTCGACTCTTCCGAAAAAGGTAGCATCTCCACCAACTAAAGTGCAGAAAGCCACTGAAGGGAAAGTGATCAAAACACCGACTCCACCACAAAATGAACCAAAACAAGTTGATTTCAGAAGTGTTTTGTTCAATGGGGGGAAAAGCGTGGAAAGTGAGAGTAAAGGACAGACGACGTCTGCGGTGAAACAAATTAACAAGCCGGTCAAAGTGGCGGCTTCACCAAAAAGTTGTGTTGAAGATAAAAAGATGCAAAGTGGGGCAAAGCAAACGGTGCCACCAAAAAGTGAAGTGAAAAAAGAGGAGAGAAAAGCGCCAGTTCTACCAACACGAGGACAAGTGGTACCACCAAAAAGCGAAGAAAAGAGAAATGGCGTTATTAAACCACAAGGGAGTAAAACAGGCGTGAAAGAAGAGAAGAAAGAAGTTGGACCAAAAGTGACTGAAAAGAGAGCAATACTCCAACCCCCACCAAAAAAGACTCCACAAAGCAATTCACAATACAAACAAACAACTTTCTGTGAGAAAACAGAGGGAAAGGCTACTACAGGAAACCCACCAAATAAAACAGAAAGTAAAGTGGTCAAACCAACTCTTACTAATACGACAGAAACACAACAATTCGATTTTAGAAGTGTACTATTTAATGGAGGGAAGGGACTTGGTCAATGATGATAATAATTTATATTGTATGGTTCTTTAATTAATTCAGTTTAGTAATTTATTA